CTACTACTGCTACTACTAGTGCTACTGCTGTTACTCACTGAAAGAATCCCCTTTCGGATCGCAGATTCAGGCAGACGCTGTTCACTTTGCAACAAAGGTGTTCTGAAAGTGTCAGCCATTTCGCCATCACACACCGCAAGGCTTGTCTTCCCTCTTGTGTGCGAACCCGGTCCCGGACCCGTCATACGTAAAAAAGACCTGGTTGCTCCACCAGCCAGTCGCACGCAAAGCCGTCTAAGACTCGAATTGCAAAACGTGGTTGCTAAACATTCCCTTGTCGTTTAGTGTAGGCCACTGCAAAGCACCGAGGTCAAGGCAATCTCCTGCCCAGAGCCATGGACCAACTTCGGGGGTGGGGTTGGGGACGTCCTGACAGTTCTTAGAGTTTCACAGCGGTTGAGTTCACCTCATGACATCTTCGCGCAAACGGCCGTATCCATTTCCAGTTAGACTATCTGGTATTGGGGTATCTTGCAACAGCGACTCGAGGTGAAAATGTCAGCTTACTGTGCAAGGGAAATGATGAATCGTTGCGAGCAGGAACCTCATTTGAGGACATGCGCTGCCAGCCCATTAGCCATGCAACACGAAACTGTAAGACTCAGCCTCCGGCAACGATGGAATGGGCATGACTGTCTTGTTTATTCAGGAGAGCTTGAAGGCAGTCTATGCAGACATGCACGACGGCGACAAGAAGGCAGTTCTCACGGTGTACAGGCAGCAAGGCAGCAAGAGATGCCCAGTCCCAAGCCAGGCCGTGGAGATCCAGGAAGGCAAAGTGACCATCCGACCTAGTGGAAACAATCAGACCTGGGCCGCGGCCTCGAGAGAGAACGGCTCCAAGTGAGAGGTTGTCGTAAAAGGCTTGCTGGATGCTTTCAAGAACACCTCTTGATGTGTGGTGTCGTATGGTGTAGTGGGCACCCGGAAGGTTGTCAATGCCGATTTGGACGACCGTTGCACTGCCGAAGTGGACTTCAACGTGCCAGGCTCCTGCATTCAAGTTGCGCCAATCGCTGTGCCGCTTGAAGCCTGGAGGGACATGTTGTGCAGCTCTCATATGACCAGTGCGATGTTCAGCTCGCCCTCTGTGCCTTGCTGAAATATCGGACCCTTTGCCGCTCATGAGTATCGTAGTCACACGTGTTGAGCCTTTTTACTTTTTATGAGACATGCATCTTACGAATGAGCCTGTTATGCCCCGCATCGATGCGACAACCGTATGAGCATCAGACTTTTTCTTCCCGCTCTGTATGCCCACCCAAAAACAGGTGCAATGCTGTTATTGTCGGAATAAGTCCTTAACCTTGGGCGGCACAGGATTTTTCAAGAGTCACGTTAGCATTGAAATGAGGTTGACTGCCCGTTCTGAATGTCGTAAGCTCCCACGAGACGGATGGATCTTTCCATACATTTTTTCGGGGTTTACGGTTTCAGCCCAGCCCAGGGCCCCAGTCCCCAGCTGGCTGGCGCGGCAAGACATCTCCAGAGCATGGTGCTCGAGATGTTCTTCAGTTCCATGGTGTCCTCCAACCATATAGGTGGCAAGATCGTCGATGTGATGAACTGCAGGCGGGCCCAGCATGCTGCCGCCCAAAAACACCTTGTGTAAACAACTGCCTTTGCGAAGTATGCTCTGGAGCGAAGGTTTTGCAAAAACCGGTGACTACCTTGAGGAGCCAAGGCCCAAATCGAGTTGATCTGCGCTTCCTTCTTTGAACTGACCCGTGACTTCGAGAATTGGTGCTGGTTTGACGGCGGCGGTGGTGAGGCTGCTGGCCCTGCTGTTGAGGTGCCACACCAGAACCATGTCGTGAAGCCAGACGAGCTTGAAAAGTTACCACCTCGCATGTAGTTCCTGTTGTCTATGCCGCGGTTTTTCAGCCGATATATCTGGGACCGACTTTCGGACAAGGATTTCTTCGTGGAAGTGAATGCTTTGGATACATTGGCTTGTTTCCGTCTTGGCCGGCTTGGAGGTGCCGTCCGGGACGAGCGATTTTGTTAGTCACTGGCGTATTGTCACGACCTCGGACGAATATGTCCGTACAACGCAGCTGGGAGTCATGACTCAGCAGGGTGAGCGGACTTCCTGAACAGTCGCAGCGTGGAGTGTACGGATGCCCACATCGCTTGGTTACTGCTGGACCCAGCTGCCGGGCTACGTTTAGGTGCAGAATTATGTGCGCCAGGCGGTGGAGGCTTGGCGACGCACGGCTTCGCTCGAGGGATGTCTGGTGTCTGGTGACGAGTCGATTGAAATTGCTGGTCAGAGCGATATAGCTGAGGATCTTCCGGTCTTCATGGCAGTGGTGGGCAAGCGGAGACCGCGCCGTTTGCATCGATCCCAAGACCTGCACGACATGGTGTCCGTCTGCGAACTGCAGGATGCTGAGTATGCTTTCCCCTTCGCATTGCTGGCGCAATGGCCACTAACCGCAGGATCCCACACATGAGGCGGCAGATGCCAGCGCAATGAGGAGTACGAGTCCTCCAGCAGCGAGTCCGACGTTTCGTAGCAGTAACTTTGCATTGACTCTGCAAGTGCATGCCAAACCTTGCGGATGTCACGGGTGTGATCCGGCTTGCTCCCCCCCCACTTGCAATGTGGCATAATGTGGCTGTTGCTGGGGTCCTACCATGTTTGCGCGGCATATGTCTGTAGCGGCCCTGCCTGCAGTCTGATGTACATCGATGACCGGCCTCACTGGACGGAGACAGAATTCCCCACGGATCCCTGTGCTGCACTTTTTCAGCAGCTCCTCCTCCAACGGAGGACGCTTTGCCAGGTGGCCGGCGGATCTTCGGCGGGTGGCCTTTATGTTCAGACGATCTGTGCGCCTGCACGTGGCCGCCAACCTGACTTCGACTCCAGCCATTCCCGCAAGCTGAACGACCATGAGGCTCTGCATGCAGCATTTGCCGGCATTGCGAACAAAGGAGGCTCGCCCGAGCCGGATCAAGACGATGACGACTAAGACTCTGGTGCCTTTTTCTTCGTGCTGCTCACGCTTTGACTGCTCGTAGCTCCGGTGCTGCAACAGCTCCGGCGACAGTGGCAGCTGGAAAATATTTGTGACCTCTCACAACGAGCCCAACAGACAAGTGCTGTGTACCGTGATTTATCGACCCTGTGAGGTGTGGTTGCAGTTTTGTAGCTCCCTGACTTATCGATGCCTTTTGCCGGGTGATGCGTGTTTCAGCCCTGCATTTAGAGCTTTGGTCGGTAACACTGTTGATGCGAGAGAGGAAGGCCATGGATGCACGCAAATAGATGAATATTCATTTACGGTTCTCGTCTGTCTTCAATCTATAGACATCAGAACGGACATCGCGCATCCCACGACTGGGTGGGGCCAACTCCGGAGCCAGGGACAATGGCGCGGTGGGGGATGGGGATCACCGGCGCAGTTGTCGGATTGTTTTTCGAAGCTCCAAGCATTTTACATGCCGCAGTTGTTCTGCCTCAATTTGTGAAACTTTGCTCGTGTAGCAGTCCCAGTCCCCATTCAGCTCGTGACTAGATGCCGTGGCAAGGCACTAGCTCCAACCACCGCAAAGTGTTGTGCAGCTGGAGGCAAACCGTCTCCGCCGCCGGTGCCTTTGGAGCTGAAGCTCTGGCAACTTCAATCCAGCATCCTGTCTTGAACAGATGTCATGCTGTGACCCCCGAGCGTGTGTTGCAAGACATGCACGCATGGTGCAGTGTTCTTCGTATTGTGTCATTGCAGCGCTTTTGCTGGTAATTGCACTCGCAAATAGTATCTTGTCACCCGAGGCAGCTCTCAGAAAACATCTTTCGAGTTTTCGGATCCCAGCGGGATGCTTGCACCACCGGGTATCCCATTGAACGCCTGGTTGGCAATACCTTCCACGCAGAGTGCCCTTCTTTTCTAGGCGGAACCGGAGCCCAAGTGATGCTGTCGGAAACGTCTCCGGGTCGCGGCACTTGGCCGCGAGCGCTTGATGGCTCCCCGCAACAGTCCGGGACAGTGAAGATGATCACAGCAAAAAGGTTGTTCAGCTGTTCTGTTTTGCTTATCATGACGGGCGAGGTGAACGAATATGGATCGACACTTGCAGGGCCACTTGTCTCTCAAGAGCAGATGTCACAGGTTTTCCACTTCACGACAGTCATAATAGAACGAACCCCATTTACGGTCAGGCACTGAGTCGCTACTGCGATTTGTTTGTTGCAAGAGTGTGCTGCAGAGCCACGCAAAGCTGCTGCCTGCAATGTCCGACCCGGCAGTCGGCCAACACGAAAACGGTTCAAGCCTCAAGCTAGCTTTGGCACTCTCGGAAAAGGTGCTGCCGGCAACAATGCAGATGCTCGCCCTCACATGGCAAGATTCAACAACATGATCTTTGGCTGCAGATGCGTCTCTTGGGGATGCCAATCAACAAAATTCTAGAATCAACGCTTCCATTCTCAGCACTTCTCCCCCATCGAAAGCAATTTGCGTGAAGGCAGGGCAGGAAGGAAGGAATCAAATGAACCACCATCGCCGAATGAGGGGGCGAGTTGAAACCACGTAACTAACCGGCACCGAATGAAGGGGGCGGGGGTTTCAGACATGTGATCAACCCATATCAACCCCCATCGCGTAACGAGAGGAGCAAGTTTGATTAGTGGTCATCGCTTAATGAGACGGCAGTTCGAAGAGATGTGAATCACAGCCATGACGTGGTGAAGACGCTTGTTTAAGAAATGTGGTCAGCCGCCGTCGCGTAATGGGGGGGCTGGCGGTTCAAGACATGTGATCAAGGGTCATCGGCTAACAATGGTGGCGGGTTCAGAGATGTACTTCGCCGCTTTCGCTTGTTGAGGGTTCGGGTTTAAGAACTGTGGCACCGCCCCAAAATCATTCCCGCGGCCCTCCTTGGACTTTGGGCATGTCGAGCGTTTCGAGGACAAGCAAAATTATGGCACTTTTCATGAATCGGCTTCCACTAAAGGATCGAAATCTGTGCACCGGCCACAGCCGGAGACGTGGAGCTGCTGGGCAAGCCTTTCTGATGGCTGGAAAAGGTCATTGACGTTTTGTTGTATGGGTCAAAAAACCGCTTATTTGATTAGTTTTTCTTTGGACGGTTTCCTTTCTCCTTTTACTCAGATGTGGGGTGCCGCTCCCTTTAACTATCAGCGCCTACGAATCTGTATTCAACGACACAAAACGATTCTGACACAGAGGCTTGACAGATGTAGTTGAAAGTAACGCATGCTGTGACCGTGGTGGACTCCAAGCCTGCAAGCGAGTTGCGCGGGGATGCCAATCGCTGGGGGAATGGTGGAATTAGCTATCAGACTTCGGGTGAAGCTGACTTGACATTCTGCATGGCATAGAGGGGGACATGGCAGCTGCAGAACACAGGCAAATAACTCGACTCTTCTGGCCCAGTCCACCGAAGGGTAGTCGGGTCGGGTAGTGGTTTCGCCAGAGAAGTGCAAGCGAAGAAGAAGGGTCGGCTTAAACATTGCAGCAAGCATGTGCAATGAGTCTAGCGCACAAGAAGAACGCTGCACCAAAAGACCCCTTGCGCCTTGGAGCCCACCTAACTGCGAGGGCGAATGGCAGCATTATGTAAAACATGCAACCAAGTCACAAGACCACAAAAGTCAAGCCTTGTGGCGATGCCTGGTGCATGCCGTGCCGGCTAAGCCGCAGCATGCGAAGGCCGGAGATCTGTTGATTGCATCGTTCGGAGAATGCGTGCAGCCCTGCACCCTCGTCTTCCTCGACTGGCAGGCTTTGGAGCTGTTGGACGTTTTTGGCTTTATGTGCTGCCGAAGAACAGAGGCGAGTTGGGATTGCCCCGTTCCAGCTGCCAAACATAGCAATCCTTGTCGGAGGGAGCCCAGATGTTCAGTCAGATCTGATTGGCGAACGGACGTGCGATGTGCCCTTACCCTGAGGCAGCTAGCCACACGACTGGCACCGAATCTGGCCCTGGGGCAGAAAGTTGACTTATCATCGACGGCTCAGTGGCTTTCGCCGCAATGGAGGAACGGGAGCTTATCTCGTGTAGTTGTTTGCATCATCGTGCATGATTGTATCCACTGACCCTACGTCAGTTGTGCCAGAAGTTTCCTTTCAACACAAGGTTCGTGTCCGACGATGGGACAGAGACCTGGACGGGTGACGGCTTCCGCGCCACGGATGGGGACTTCGGCACTGCTTTTTTCTTCGGCCTGGGCTGCGCAGAAACTCAGGCGCATGAGGGCGCAACGTCACTCAGTCCTCTCAGGTAAAGAGACTCAAGGATTGAACACGGGTGGAGAACACTTGTGTTCAAGCACGAGTCATGACTGCATCGACTTGGAACGTGTTTGTGTTTCGATATGTTTCTGATCATTCCGAGGGTGATTTCGGCTTTCCGCTGCTTGTGATTTTTACCTCAATTTCGTGGTTGTCACCTGTGGCTTTTTTTTGGGCATTTAACGCGTCGCCTACCAAGTTCGACACTTTGCCTCATCTTGCAGTTTGCCTTGTTGCTTTACTTGCTTGCTTTGCACCCTCACGTTTCCCTCCAATTTCTTCCTTAAGCTGCCAGCGAGCTTTGTGCTTGAATGGCTGTTGTGCTGTCTGCTGCCGTGTTGTAAAAATTCTGTTGACAGCCCTAAACTAGCCCGGCTTCGAGGTGCAGGGTTCCCTTCCCTAAGTTGAGCTGCACTGCACGGAGCTGCAATTGGTATCAGTAACGGCCCACAGCGTTTTGACAGGACGCAGACAGCCCTGCTTGCAGCCAATTTTTGAGGGTTTGGTTTTCGAGCAAGCCCTAGTAGCCTAGTGCAGGGCTGGGGCCACTGGTTTTCCCTTTGGCATGCCCTCATCCGATCAAGCCTGCGGCTCACATTTGCCAGTTTCTCTTTGGCGTGCTGAAGCCGATAAGACGATGCTGCAGCAGACTTTCGTCTAGTGCCTTCCATGATGCTAAGATCCCGAGAGGCGCAAGTAGCTTAGCATAGCGACGCATGGTGCTCACTGTGGCGACATGGAGCACGCATATTCGTCGGCAATGCTTTGTTGGAAGCGAAAGAAAAAGCGTCCGCAGTGGATGCCAGGTGGAGCCAAATCCTTGGCTGCGTGTGGACCTTGGCCGCGAGGCAGGATCATGCAGGATCTATTCTGCCGTACGTGGTGAGAATTGGCCAAGTTTAGGTGCAAACTCTGTTCATGTGGCTTCTCGAAATCTATCTTCGGTTGCTGTTCTCATCGTTTCCGTCATGCTCTTGGCCTGCCACCAAAGAGAATAGTTCTATTTGTGTTTTCCAGTTCTGTGTACAGATTACTTGTTGAAATATTGTGGTCATGCTTCATGCGTGTAGCCAGGAATGCATGCAGAGCAGGGGTGCAGCGAGACGCAGAGCAGATCGTACCAAGTGATGGAACAACCCAGCCCAAAGATGATTGATTAGTGTCGACGTCTACTCACTGCGGTGCATCTCTATTTGCATTGGTGTCGTGTGCATGCCAGATGCAGTGGGCGCAAAAGTGGTGGCACACTCTTGCGAGTGTATGCCATCTTTCATTCTCTGTCTTTCCCTGGCTTCCTTTGCTTTACCGTGATTCAATTTACTTGTTGTCTGGAGCCTGGACATTGTTTAGTTTAGATCATTCAATATCACATCGCCTGGGCAGGCCGGTTGAAGGCACTCGATTGGAGCACACGTGCGATGCCGCTTAAACACCACACTTCGTCGCAGAATTGTTTACCTTCAATTGGCGCGGGCCGCGGGGGCACGGAGGGTGGCAGGCGTGTCCGTGGATCCGATACAACAGGATGCAGATTTAGGCAGAGCGCTGGTGAGTCCAAAGAGCCCTTGGAGTTCGGCCAAGACATCGTAGAGTCTGCACGACTCTACGACAGCCCTTCGCACGGTGCATTGTGAGCAGTGCATGTGGGCGGGATCGTCGGCCAGCAGGCCAGGGCTCAGTCCAAGCATTTTTTGTCAAGGCCGGAATGCTACGTTTCATCTGTGCCAAAGTCGGCAGTGCGCCTCTTTGCTCTCTCGCTGTAGGTCCCCGTGGCCGTCGTGCGCATCATGACGCGCAGTGACAGTGTTGATACAGGCTTAGGCAGTGTGCTCGGATGGGGTGCTTGGGTTTTCAGCAGATTGCCTCGTGCGAATCATGACCGCCATTCCCTCTGTTCGTGCCGAAGCCATATGCATGAAGCAGCAATGTTCCCAGCTTCCAGGTCTTTTGGACATCCGCCTGGGCAACGAGATTCTCACATGGCGTGAAAACCTAGTGTGTGCAGAAGCTGTGATGCTGGACAGACTCCAGCAGCCCAACATATTCAATTGTTTGGCTTCAGGCGGGTTGGGCGGTACGGGATGATGTGCGGCATCTATCTGTGTTGAAAGCATCGGATGACTGCAGCATCGTACCTGCAGTTTTGCGCCGGTTGCCTTCAGCTCATGGCAAGCCTGCAGCTCGTGACGGTTGTAGTAAGTGTAGCAGGCCGCTATCTCTGGCTTGTCCTACGTGTGTCTGGGACGATGGTTGCACCTCTCTCGGTCTGCGAAGTTGAGGTCACCCCGAAGGCGGGGTGCCGAAGGAGATGTAGTTTCAAGCCGAGATGGCTAGCTTCTCTGTGTGGTTTTTCGCACATGCCCAGGGGCCCTCCGGAAATCGACAGATTCTACAGACCGCAGGCGGTATGTGGCCTCTGCAGCTGCAAGGCATCTGGAGCAGAAGTCACCCTGACTTCATCCGCAATTGCCCTGTGCATGCGTAGTGCGTCACAGATGACAAAGCAGATCGTAAGCTTCGAGCTGCACGGCAAGCTGCAACCCCTGAGGCGTCGCGCTTGATCCGCATGACCGAATTCGCATCGTGGCGGACACTGTGCTTTGTGGACTTGAAGGCACGGCGATGTGATTTCATAATATCTCCAGCACACAGGATCGCATCAGGGCTGGACACGGAACGTGAACATGTTGTGGAGAGGGCCTCATGAATGTTTCATTCTGCAGGCAGTGCCACCATGCATGATGCCGTTCTGGCGTTGACTGCGCCGATGGGCCAGCGCGCACCGGCTCAGAATCAGACTTGCTTTCGTGCGCCTCTCTTTTCATACGGGGTGGCGCGATGCAATATAAGGGCGTTTGGAACTCTGTGTCTTTGCCCCAAGGTGCTCATGGAGACTTTCAGTCGGAAACCTGGGAGAACATCCAAGTTAATCGACGCTGTGCCAAACAGTAGTTCTGCAGAAGAGTTGCCACTTGCTGCGTGCAAATCCACTGCTCCAGATTGATCTGGAACACTGTCTTCAGGAATGGGCATTTACAAAGTTTGCTGGTGTGGTGGTGATGGGGACTGCTCCACTGACGAGCACTTCGCAATGCATGTGGCTACCCTGATCATCAATGGAATCATGTTGACGGTCGTGGGCGACGGGAGGGCGCCAAACAGAACGACCGACATGGTCGAAACACGGCAGCATCTGGAGAATTTGAGGCAACAGCAGGCATCGATAGTGCAACACATCATTATCTGAGGTTTCCCAAACCCTTGTACTACGTTTTATTCTCAGTGCCTGACATTAGCACCCCTCGTATTCCTCGCATTTGCATTTCGATGACCCCTTCGTCCGTTGCCATACCATAGAAGAACAGAATCACCACAATCACAGGGAAGCACAGGTACCATGTTAGGATCACAGCTGGTTCTTTGTGCGGCGCTGATCCGCAGCTACTCGCCCCAAGACCCTATTCTAGATATGAAGGCCGCTACACTATCCAAACTCAAAATGTAGTAATTGTTGGACAACTTGTTTTGCGGTTATTGAGCCTCTGCAAAGACATCAAGGTAACCCCAGGCAGGAAGCTCGCATACCATGCAGCAGTCCGACCTCCAAAATGGTTGTGCGTGGTCAGTGGGGGGTTCGTGGTCAGTGGGGGGGGGGGGCCGGGGAATTCGCAGCGTCTTACGTCGATAACTTCCCACGTCAGTGCTTCGAGTGCAAGACCTGCGGAATTTCCAGATCACAAGACAAGGCGACTTCGAGAAGCCCCAAATGTGACGTCTCCCTCTATGATAGCCTTGGCCAAGGACGGAGCTCCTGGCTTCCAGAGCCCGCTGGGCGATCCTTTTGGCCGCTTGGTCTGGCACCGGTTTTGTGCGGATATTTTAATGCACGCTAGGTCACACTGGCTACGCTCGTGAGCTGTGACACAGGTCGGCTTCACAGTATTTGCCTCACAGTCCTAGCTTAGCTAGTGCAATGGCAAACACCGAAATGGACAAGATGGCAGGCTTTTTGGGGGATAGGCCTTAAACAAAAATAAATAGGTGGCATCGAAAACATATAATAGGCATCAAAAAAACTAAATAGGCATCAAAAAATTACCTGGGTATCCCGAGAGACTGACAGAAAGCCAGAAAGACAGAAACAGCAGAACGACAGAAAGAAAGAAGGAAAAAAGACAGAAAGAGAGAAAGACAGAAAGAAAGAACGAATGAAAGAGAAAGAAAGAAAGAAATAAAGAAAGAAAGACAGAAAGAAAGGAAGAAAGAAAGAAGAAAGCAAGACATAAAGAAACAATGCGGAAAGAGAGAAAGAAAGAAAGCAAAAAAGAAAGAGGAAAGAGGAAAGCGACACAGAAAGAAAGAAAGAAAGAAAGAAAGAAAGAACGAACGAAGGAAAGACTTCAAAACAAGCACCAGCTAAGCACAATAGTGAACGGAAATAATAAACAAAACAAACGCCAGCAAACAGCAAAATAACTAAGACAAAACACGCAAGTACAAGAAGAGAGCAGAAGGAACCGCGAAAGGAGGCGCAAGAAATAATACCAGACAAGTCGAAAGGGAAATAACAGCAACATCACCAGGACTAGTGCTAAAAAACAACGAAAAACAGAAAAAACAACTAGAACGTAACAAATCAACAACGACAATGGAAACAATAAAGCATCATCAACAACAACAACAACACAAGAAGACAAGCAAATCGTAACCAGCACCCCGAGTCATTGTGTTGTTGTTGGGCGTCGTAGAGTACACTGGGCAGAACAGTGGGCCGACTTGGCGTGGCACTGGCTCTCACAGACCTCTCAGGCCCTCCCTTCCGAACACCCTGTTTTTCCTTATGAACCAGTGTGGAACAAGCTAGGGGGCTGCCAACGTGCCAGAAGCTCCTTAGGTCCACCTCCTTTCCTATTCGCAGTGAGTCTAGGATCTTTGCATACGGCCGCCCCCCAAAAAATGGCTGCTTGATGAAGGGTCCAGTCAGCAACAGATGCTGTAAGGCATAGCCGTCTCCAACCAGCGTGTCTTCTTCACCGAGCGGGGTACGCACATGCTGCGCTGGTTGGACATAGAGGAGGGCCTCCCAGCTGCATTCCATGCACCTAGAGACCGCCTTAAATCGCATGGATGGTTTCGAGAGAAACAGTAGAGTGACGTGTGCTGACCCAGAGACAAGGCGGCAGCCAGAGAGTTGAAGTCCACAGAAACACATCCAAGGTCGAGTCTACACTCTTGCAGGACAGTTCTTCCCGGGAGTGAGAGGCGCATGAAGCTTAAGTCTTTTTCTCGCAAGATTGAGGGGTCCTGTCAGAATGAAGTCCTCTGCAAATAGCTCCTTCCCAATGTTTGAAACTGTCGGGGATGCAGGTTCTTGCAGGTTCCCGTAAAAGTTCAAGCGTTCGGGTTTAAGCAGGTTTATCCGGGTTTATGGTTGCCTCTTCGGAAGTTGCAATGATGGTGCTGTTTGCCGCAGCTTGAGCTTAGCGGACTGGCACGATGTTCACCAGAAACAACAAGGGCTTCTACTCTACAGAGATTTGGGGCTTTGGGGCTCCTCCATCGTTGGATGTTGCTAGGCTTTACTTGCGATCGGTGAAACAGAGAACGACACAGATGCCCTGGATGATGGAGCTAGAATAGCGCCCCAAACTTACACGTGCAACACATGCCATACTAACACCGAACACCGAAGCAGAAACATCCCGTCCTACTCACTATCGCCTGTGCTGCTTATGGTTGCAGGGGACTTTGGTTCGGCCTTCAACGCGCAGCTCTCCTCACCGCTCGGTCTTGCTTTGGACCGGGATCACACGCCTCCCAGCGGATTTGGTACAGAACAGTTCGAAGTGTGTCAAGAGCACAAACATGGGTTGGGAGCATTGCTTGAATCTGAAGACATGCATGGAGATCCAAGTTGTCAGGTTTCGGTAGCACTGTTTCACCCGACATGGGCAAGGGGTCGCGACTTGATATTGAACGGTGCAGGAGGTGTACCTACTGTGACAACGAAGTTGCCTGATGTCAAGTCAAGGGCATCAAGTTCGGGAGAGGGAGCAAGGGGCAAAAATGGCAAGTGTAGAAGTTTCTGCTAAGTCAGCCGGCAACTGCAAGTCTTAAGACTGATGCAGTCGCGAGCATGCAAGCATGTTTTCTTTTCAGAGGTCGCTCTACATCGCGGACTACGGGAGTGACCGGGTTCGCAAAATTGACTTGACGCAGGACCCTCTCAACAGAGGCTGGAACAGAGGGACACATTCGAATCTGGCAAATCACTCATGCGAGTCTTGAGCATTTCTGTGCTGCACAAAGTGGTCAGCTAATTATGAATGACAAGGAGGCCATCTCATGTAGGTCGCGACATGTGAATGCGCCCAGTGGAGGGCCTGTGCTAGACAGGTATCATTGAAACTGTCGCCGGGAACGGCTTTCGGGGCTTCTCCGGTGATGGCGGGCCAGCACGGGAGGCGAGTGAGGTTTGGAAGTCCAGGATTTGTCTTAAGTCCAAAGCTTGTTTCAGGCCTTTGGCCATCATTCCTAGCCTATGCCTTGTGGTCAATACATGCGCAGGTGCAGGCGACTATTAACTGCTGCTTGTTTGATTGGCACGGAGAATGCTTCACCTGCATTGGCTGTCGATGGCCAAACCACGAACGTTCAATGCGTCCCTGCTCGAAGACTTGCGCCGGGCCAGGCACAGCTGAATGGACCTTCAGGCGTGGCTGTGGACCTGTCCTGGACCCAGCCCTTGATAGGTTAGCGCGCAGAGGTCGTGTCGATCTGCGCTGTTCTGGGGGGCTGCCGACGGTTGACTTTTGCAAATTCCAGGGTGCTACCTGCAGTGTAGGAGATACGCTTGCAGCTGCGGCCACGGGCCCAAAACATTTCAAGACAACAGGTGTTTCCATTTTCCACATGACGAAAGGGGGGGCCCTTGAAGACGCAAATGCGTGCATGTGCAATGTGTAGCAGCTGGGGGCACAATGTAAGTGGGATTCAAGTCTTTCGATGTCGCAATTGCCATTGTTCCTGGCCTGGCACAGTGTTGTTAGACATGTTTCGTAAGCATGAAGCACATCGTAGGATTGTGCGCAAGAGCATACCAAAGCAGGGGAAGACCGGTGGATTCCTTGCCTTTTGCGCCCAGGAACCAGATGCTCTGGATTTGCACCCGGGCTGCAACGTTTGTATTCGAACCTGCCTTGGCACGAATGCGCAGAGGAACCTACACCGCACAGTGGCACTGTGAGCCACGCGCACATCAGCCCTGGCTCTATAAAAGCTTAACAGCATTCCGAAAGAAGGTAGCGTTGCACGTTTGACGAAGTCGGAAGTCTTATCCCATCCCACCATTTGTAGCCAAGAAATTGGAGTGCCCGGCACAGATGCCGGCCAGAAACACCATGTGTTGATGTCGGCTGCGCAGGCGATAGTGGCAACAACGTGCTCCGCGTGGTGTCCATGGAAATCCCGGTCAGAATTCCAGGCTCGCGATTGTGACGTCTCATTTTCACTTTCAAAGCTTTGGGCCCTGCAGTCCAAGTGAAGACAGGCAGATTGTGCTTGGGTAGGGTCAAGGGGTTGCTTCCGCAATGGTGTCACATGATGGGATTGACGTCGTTCTCAAACCCGTGGGCAGTGTCGAGGCCTCCGAACACGGAGTGTACTTCCATCAAGTGGCCCGGGCTCACATGAAACAGCTTTTTCAGGATCTCAAGTCGCCCCTTTCTTCCCCCGAAGAGTCCATGCCGTTTTGGCAACTTCAAGTTTCATCGAGACGTTGTGAATAATCGATCCTGAGACAAACACGTACTTCAGGGAGACATCTCACATCCTTCAACTCACACCAAAAAGCAAGACTTAGTTTTGACAGATGTACTAGGCCAGAATTCGACTGCACACAAGAGTCTCCCTTTTTCTTGCCTCGAGCCATAACCGCATTCGTGTTCAGGTCCTCATAAAGGTATTTGACACGTTACCAAGCCTCAACCAGATCGATTCGAGCTGGAAGTGCCAGGGCACTTTCCAGGCCTTAGCACGCATTTGCCAGCGAAAAAGCATCAAGTTTTTTTTGTACAAGCCGCGACGGCTTGGATCAGTCGTTTTTGGAGGATGCACCCCTGGAGGCAGCAACGAGTTCCAAGCCAACGTCATCCTGACAGCTGCCGGGGGCTCCACTGGCCAAAGCCAGGGCAAAGGCGATGGCGGAGTGGCCTGGCTGGCACGGATGCAGGCCGGGGTGCAGAGAGTCTGGAAGTGCTTATTGCCGACCTCTCAGCTGCAGGGCCCTTCCGGGGTTGCAGTGTCATCCGCTTTCGTCAGCACGGAGGACCCTCCCGTCTATCACCTTGTGATGTCATGGCATAAACTCTCGGCTGTTCCTTGGGTTCCCGCACAGGACGGCACGCTGCCAGTCAACGTCTACATTTCGGAAAGCATGGGCCAGCAGGCGAAATCCCCGGCAGTCCAGTTGATAAGTTGTGCAAGCAACGACAGAACGTTGAAGTGCTGTTGTATCTGCAGCCGAGATCCCAGAACGAGCAATTGCTGTAGACCCCCGCGTTGGTGACCACACCAGCTCGATCGGATCTAACTGGCCAAAGTGCTAACTGCCACTCGTAAAATAGCTGATATAGTGCCGCCCCCTTTAGCACAGCTCATATCCGTTGATGTTTCCGGATGACGTTCCCGCGAGGTGCGTTCCATGTCGCTGGAGTTTCAGAGCTATCTCGGCGTGATCAACACGTGCCCTGAGCGGGATCAGTTTGAAGGGTTGTGGCAGTTGGGGTTTCCCTTCGGAAACAGGCACGTCTCAAACTGCAGCACTCAAGGCTGGCTGGCTCTGGCCAGCGTGGGAACGACCTCCAGGCCAGTTCGAACCGCTCCAGGGCTTCGGGCAAGAGTTGAGGTCCAGGTAGACGACATGTTTTTGCTTTCTGTACTGTATGCAGATGCCTCATGCCCGGCATGACTTTTATAGTTGATGGGAGCTGTATAGGTCAGTGCTTGGGCACAGGCTGATGAGCCCGAGCGCTGAGGGTCGAAATTTGTTACAGCGCATAGCAAATCTTCGCATTTCATCAGAAAGTGTGTGGTTGTTTTGGGTTGACCCTCTCCAGATTTGCGAGGCTTTGTTGAACATGGCATGAGGCTTAGTTTGGTTCACGGCCGTCTTCGCTGCTATCGGGACCCTTCTGGGCCAGGAGGGGCTGCCGCTGGAGGCCCCCAATGCAGAGCTCAACGAGCCAAGCGGGGTGGCGACGGATGCAGGCACTTCACAACGTCGAGGCGAGTGATGCGGGGTGTGCAAAACCTTGGCGAGGCCTGGTCTACCTCAGCGACTCGGCCAACAACCGCCTCTTGATGATGCAGCGTGGCGGCAGTAAGCCGATGTTAGTGGCAGAGCTCGCTGCGTCGATCTGGAGTGCTTGCGTCATGAGTCAAGCAAAAAGAGTGGCAGAGAAGACACTCTTGTGAGAAGTACGATGACTTCAATGCTCTTTCTGATCACCTTCGAGTGTTCGGTTGGCTGAGGCCGGCATTGGAGTACGTTTCCATGGGCTGCTGGCGTGAGAACATTGAGTCGCCATGGATTCCAAGCATCGAAGGCTTGAGCGCCTGCTCTGAGTCCGAATGACCCAATCACTTCAGAGCCCTGCTGAAGATCGTCTTGTGTTGCTGATTCAGCGTGCGCCAAGCATTGCAGAAGCTTCCTGCTTCGCTGAGCACCTATCCCGGATCTTGTTCGGAGCCTATACGTTGATCACGGCTTCAAATCTCCGCTCGAGGCGAGCCACTCCCCTGGGGCATCGACTACCTGCAGGCCGGTTCTGCTAGATCTACATTACGTAGGTCTCAGTAAAAACTACGATTTTCTTTTGGAGGGCGAACCCTTCTGAATACGGCACTCCCTAATTTGGGAACTCCCCCCATGCTGCAAAGCAGTCATTGCTGATGTTCGCACGATGCCAGGGTATCCCCGAGAACCGACCTGCGGCCATTACAGCGTGCGACCACTCAGCTTGAAGCCGGTGGCTGTCAGTGGGCTTGATTCGGACTTCACCCGAATTCCAGGGGTTACGCAAGTGACAGCAGAGCAAAAACGAGAGCAACAGCGGATGCATGCAGCAATCAGAAGATCCACCTGCGCTCGCAGTGGCATCAAACATCTGCAATCTGAATGCGCTAGTAAGACACAGACTGGAGCAGAAAGAGCTCGGGACGTGTGCTCGCGCTACCTGCGTCGGCAAGGATGCCATTTTTCATCTGTTTGATGCTGTAAAGTGCGGTGATGAGGATGATGGTGATGCTGTTGATGATGATGCTAAGGTTACTGTTGCTGATCATGTCGGTGAAGTGATGATTGACGCTGACGTCAATGACTGAGTACAGCAAGATGATTGTGGCGATGATGTGGTGATGGTGATGGTGATGACAACGAAGCTCTACGGCCGACGGTGGCAAGGAAGCTGTCCCTGAGAGCTGAATGGGCCATGGGCACAAAGGCCAAGGGCTGCAAGTTCTTCGGGGTCCCCCCTCCTCCTCCTCCTGTGCCGACCGGGAGCCGCTTGCTTCAGCGATTGTGCAATGAAAACCGCATCAGGTGCGCTCTGGCCACGCTGCGTTTGGGCTATGAGGTGTTCGCCATTCGTCAAATGGGGGTGTGTGCCACCTCAAAGGACCCCGGATTGAAAGGAATACTACTTGCGCAGTAGGCCTGCAGGGCTATATGATTGAGGACTCGCGGTTCCAGACCTGATGAACTAACTGTCATTTCCTTCGCTGTGGCTAGACAAGATTCCGTTTGTCCTGCGGTTGCTGCTGTCGCACCGTACTGTGTGAGGATGCGCACCTCTACTTTCGGTTGTGGCCTAAGCGTGAGCTGTTGTTCGGACTCATGGAAGCCAGTGGAGCCAGCGGCAACGTATATCCGAAGACTTCTTCGGGGCGGCAGAGTGATGTGCACCAAGAGCTTCGGTTCAAAGAACAAGAGACAAAGTTGGAAGGCTGTCGAGCATCCACGGTGAATTCTAATTGAGGCTGTCAGGCTATCCTAGAGCCGGACGGCAGATGTCAGCTTGCCATCAATTCAAGTTAGTGCGGTAACCCCCCCGAACCTAGCCGGTCATGTTCTTGAGGTGCTTGCAATACGTTTTATGGATCCAGGGTGTTTAGGTTCTTGTGACAGTAACAGCCCTGGAGCCGCTCCTGCACGATTGCCACCAACGTCCTTCCTTGTCAGGTTCGAGGGCTCTTCGACTTCTTGTGATCAGGGTAAAGGTGGAGCACGCGACAACTCAGTCTACAGGCCGGGGGTGTGACGTCGTGGCCTGGGCCTGCCGGTCCAACTTCGAAGGGGCTCTTCAATCTCAATGATGCCAGACACGAGTTTCCATCTTTGCCCATCCACGCAACGTGATGCCTGTAGGTTTGCTCGTCAAGGGATGATGACGCAGCAGCAGGGATTGGCCCTTCCCTCAGGGCTATCATTCAGGTGTTGTCAGAAACGGGATATTTGCATTCTTGAGATCCTGCCAGGATTTTGTGCAACCTCGCAGCAAGTGCAGATGCCAAACATGTGCGTGAGTCACTGAAAATCGTTGCAGGTCTGATTCAGTCTTCCGCATGCACTGCCTGGATCAACGGCCCACCCGCAGCAGTAACTCTATTGACCTTCCGACCCGATGTTGCTAGCTCTTGATACCCAAATGTCTCCTTGCGTGTGGCTGGGATGGGACCTGCGTATCCTTCCCCTGAGGTCTACGTCCTGGCAGGGAGGGAAGGCGACGCCGGCTTTGCAGGTGACCAAGGCAGGTCATAGAAGTGCAGGACGTCTTGTAGGCCGCAGCTCTGTGCTCGTAGGCAGCGCTTGGGTAACACAGCTCAACCGGCATCGCGCTCAGCGAGCATTGGCCTTTCTGAGCATGGTCGTAACTTGTAACTGCCTGAGGCCCAACGGCCTGGGCGTAAATCCCATGACGAAGGACGTGGGACAGGGGCTTTTACTTCGGTTCGTAGTCTTGACATTGTAGCAGGCTTGGATGGCTTGCTGCAGCGATGTCATGAAGCAGTCCGTGTCGAATGTTTTATTTTGAATAGCAACCCAATCTGCCAGTTTTGGACCGCCCGGCATGTTTGCACGAGTGAACCAATCTCATCCACCGTCACGGTTGGGGCCAGGTTCAAGGTCGGGTTTGTGCGTCGCAGCTAGCGCAACACGAATGCTTTTAACAGCATTAAAGCACTTGGTAGAAGTCACCGGCATCATGTTGATGATAGCTTCGGCGGCCAGGTCTTACAGGAACAGGCTGACAACATCGGTTTGTAATCACTTGAGATGTGTGATGGAACCGCATTCGTAGGACATCTACGTGGCAGATTCCGGCAACAACCGCATCCGTCTGATTTTCAGCCAGATAGGCACCGACCTCCGTCACGATCATGCAATCAGCATGCGAGGCGATCTTCGGGTCTGAGCATGAGGGGCCACTGCTCACCCGGCAGAGGTCCCGGCGTTCATCACTCTGGCTACTGTACGAACGGATTGGCCTGCGAGGTGGGAGCCTTTGATGCAGGCGGCTACATTCAAGGTGAAGAGAACGAGACATGCAATCTCTGGGATGCCTCAAAATGATAGAAAGTAACAAGCAAATAAAAGCAAATTAACCATGAACGTGGCATCCAGGTAACAAGCCAAACTTGTTTCGCCCGAAGGCGCGGAATAACAGGAAAAAGCAAAGCAACACAACAAAAGTAGCACAGAATAACAACAACAACGTTGCGCATAAGCAATGAGAGACTACAGCAAAAAGACAAATAGAAGCACACGACCTGCCATGCCCACCTGTTGTGTTTTTTGTTTTTCTGTTATTCATTTTGTCTTTTAATATCTTTTATTGGATTTCCAGAGTTTGCGGTTTCTGCTGCTCTTCAATTTTCAGGGAATGCATGGGCACAAACCTCTTCAGGTGACGATCAGGGGAAATGGCTTGCTGCCGGGCAACAAGCTGGCCGTCATTCCCATGGAGCAAAGCTGCGGGCAGGCAGATGGGCACCGCACCTTGCCTTACCCTGTCACTAGCGCCCATACGCAGTAGAGTGCATGGTCTAGGGAGACGATGTGAAAGAATCGCCTGCATGTGCGTTGTCTAGTGTCTGCCTGTGCCGTTGTTTCCGTGCCAGCCTGGCGTAATGTTCCAAATGGGCCTGGCCATGAACCCGACGTCCGAGATCCCCTCGTCGTGTGCCCAGGGGGCCACGGTGCAATTTCGCGCAGAAGTGTCACTCCTTCTGAACCTTGAAGCTCTAGCTTCGCGCTACCTGAAAGGCCATCGTTCACCCAGAAGACCTTCAACTTTGGACCACCTTCCGTGGCTTGGACTGTTATGTCGGGGTGTTTGGCATTTCACATCAAGATCTTCCGAAACGTTACAGCATTACAAGCTGGATCCCAGCCTAGCTGCCATATCTTGCCTGCTGCAGGTGCCCCGCACCGGAACCTATCGGCTCTGCTTCTGCGTGAAGGATGCTGTCGAGCGCTGAGGATGTGCTGCTGGTGCCACTGCCTTCAAAACATCTCCTGCATGCGCCGCCACTACTCGTAGCATGGAGCTGGCACACTGGGTGGAAGCTGAATGAGTCGGCAATATTAGAAGCGTGCTTCGACTCTTGATTGAGGTGGTCTTCGGACAGATAACGCCTTGCAATGCGGCAGAGTTCTTCATCCATGATGCCGGAATTGCTGGCACCTCACATCACCTCACTGTGCTCTATTGCCCGTGAGAGGTGGTTACGGTGGCACAGCAATGGCTGTTTTGATGTCAGACGTGGGCCTGACCGGTTCTCAGGTTCGCATTGTTGGACCGGACAGCCGTATCGATGATGCCGAAGTCGTGGAAGGGATGGTCGGGGCCTCTGCAAGCTGGGAAGAGCGCAGTGTGCTTTGTCGGAGCTTCTTCTTCCTTCGTCCCTTCCTTCGGTTCGCACTGCTTCGCTTATCTTCGCTTCGCTTCGCAGCCCGGCCGGCCCTTGGCCTTGGCCATCTTCGGCCACGAGCTCTCGCTCTTCGACCGCGTGCGCCTGGCAGCGGCCCTAGCTCGGGTCTCCGAAGATCGCAAGCGATCGCTTCTGTCGCATCTGCATCTGCATCGCCTGGGAGGTGAACGACTCGCAGCCCTGTGGCGTTCCCGGTGCAGAGGCTGACTGGAGCAGGCTATAGCAGGATGCTACTGCGGGAGGGGCGCCGCTCTGCAAGGTCCTGGCCGAGGAAGTTCAAAGCCGAGACATTTTGATGGGGCCATGGCCTCACACTCTGGGAAGGCAAGCCTGACCTCGAAGCCTCCAGGCGGCGGTACCAGGGCAACGAGTCCTTCAGCCTTTGGGTGAACGTAACACTTCGAGCCTCTGGCAGCTTCCGCTTATGTGCGCACCCTAGCGACAGAGATTTTTCGAGGGTTTCAACCAAGCATGGTACTGCTCTTGGATGGTCTTGTTTTTTTGGAGAGGAAAGCCACTCAGGCTGGTGCCAGGGTGCGAGGATCGATGGTACTCGCTTGCGGTGCGAGCACGGAGAGGACTTCACATGCTTTGCCAGGCTTTGCCAGGGCCACTCTCTGTGTGAGGACTTTCGAGTGGAGGCTGCACGTGTCAACATTCGAGGCCCTGTGACTTAGGCTTCCTGTAATAAGCAAGGTTGCAACGTCGAACACGCTCTCATGTGTGACAGGCCCCATCCAGTACGTTGGCACAATCAAGACTGGCAGTTACGAGGACGGAAGCACACACCCCCTCACAGCCCGGCTGTATCGAAAATGGGGCAAGGTGTGTGAACGCCGCAGTGTAGCTGCTGCTCCAGTTCCCCATATCCAGTCCAACGTCAAGTACTAAGACTAAATCGCAGCTTCAGACTTAGACTCTAAGTCGCGCTTAGTGACTCTAACGGGACCTTCACGATGCAGATCCTGCCTGTAGCACTGAAAGGAGATCGCAGTCAAAGGCGGCCAGCTGGCTGGATTCAGCCGCCAAGCCGCAGTGAGGGCGCTGTCTAGGTTGCCACAGGCGCCGCGTCCATGTCGGCAGGTTCCAGTGATCGCATTCGACTGGTCGACGCGGCGACCGTGCAGTGCGGCAGCATGGAGGCGCAGGCCTGGCCGTAGCCATGGCAGCCCAAACCTTCCTCATCCTTCATCCTCAGCATCGCGAGGCCTTCAGCATCTCCATCGAAAACGAGCAGGAGGATGCTGTGCCCAGGTCTTGGTGACGGGCCGCGGCTCGCATTGCCGACCGCGTCAGTGCAAGCTCCTTGAAAAATATCGGACAAGGCCATCGGGCCCTCCACACCGCATCACCGCCGACTCCGTGACGTGGACCAACGTCAAGGCGAGAACTTCGAAGATATCAAGACATCAGCAGATTCTACATTCTACAGTCTATTGCCACACGCCACGAAGAACGTCACGAAAGGGGTTAGTTATGGCCCTGTTTCATGAGGTCCGCACCAGTCAGCCCCTGCGGGTATGCTGGTGTGGTGACACAGAAGCATGCCGCTGCCTTGGGGCTAGTTAGGACAATTGCGACTGCTGGTTGTAGCCGCTATCAGGTACATATGTGTATGCGTATGTATATACATATATATATATATATGTATGTATATGTATACATACTTTTGTATATATGTATATCTATGTATGTATGTATGTATGTATGCATGCATGCATGTATGTATGTATGTATGTATGTATGTATTCATGTATGCATGTATG